TCTGAAGGATCTCTGGTAGCGTAGTGGTTACGAATCGGGCTGGGAACCACAAGGTCAGCAGTTCGAAACTACCAGCTGTTCCACGGGAGAAAGATGAGGCTTTCTGCTCCAGTAAAGGTTTACAGCCTTTGTACAGGGTTGCTATGAATTGGAACCGACTCCATGGCACATAACCACCACCAACAATCACTTGACTGTAGGATTCTTCTGAACCACAAGGTTGGTGGTTCAAACTCACTATCTACTCCTCAGAAACCCTATACAGGGTCACCATGAGTCAGAACAGACTCGATGGCACTTAACAATAACAATGTGAACTTGGACTTGGTGTGGCATGGTACACTAAGCACTGGATTGCTAACCGAAGGTCGGTGGTTCAGATCCCCCAGCCACTTCTCAGAAACCACATTCAGGGTTGTGATGAGTCGGAATCGACTTGATGGCACTTACCAACAACAACAATGAAGTCCTGGTGTCACTGGGACGCTAACCCCAAAGACGGTGATTCAGAACCTCTAGTCGCTCCTTGGAAACCCTAGACAGGGTTGTTGTGAGTCAGAATTGACTCCACAGCACTTAAACCAACAACATAGGTGGAAAACCAAGTAACAAAAAGAGGAATTTATAGTATTCATGTCTTAATCACACCTATGAAGACTTTATCTTTCACTGTTGTTGTTGTGAAGTGCTGTCTAATGCTTATCCTACAGTGGAAAGTTGAGGGATAAAGGAATTTTTACCTGGAAGATTGTGCCATCTCATATGACATGATGACCCAATGACAAACTTTGTGAGTATGGCACTGTGGGCTAATGTGTCAGGCAGCAAAGTCATTTGAACTGCAAGGTTGGTGGTTCAAGCTCACCAGCTGCTCCTTGGAAACCCTATACAGGGTCGCTATGGGTTGGAATCGACTTGATGACACTTAACAACATGAGTTGGAATTGACTCAGTGGCAGTGGGCTTGGTTTTGTTAGTGGGGTTTGCAATATTTTAGTCATTTGCTAAATTGTGGTGATTCAGAACACAGACGTAAGCTTTGGAGTCAAGCGGTTCTGGGTTCCAATCCTGTTCTGCCTCTTATTAGCTGTTTTACAAGGAAATTGTTTAATATCTCTCAGTCTTAAATTTTTCATATGTAAACTAGGTATCATAATGAATTATACCTACCTTTCACAGTTCTTCAAGAAGATTAATAAAAATAATATATGTCTAGCCTTACATACCTTGTCTTGACTATAAGATCAGGGAGAAGGCCACAGGCGGCGATAAGACAATGGACTGGCTACTTTATCTTCAGCTTCTCAATTCCAGTAATGGTGGAAATCATTTTTCTCTTGCTACTAGCCACCTGTCTGTATAGTTCTATCAGAAGGGGAAAACAGTGTGGAGAAAACTATGTTTAATAGATGGAAAGCTGTTGTTAAGTGCTGTCAAGTGGTTCTGACTCATAGTGACCCTGTATAGGGTTTCTGAAGAATGGCTGGTGGATTTGAACTGCTAACCTTTTAGTTTCAGGTCCAATGCTTAGCCTACAGTGCTACATGAGGATAGGAAGGTAGAATATTGTCAATGTGTTTGTGATAGGCGAAAAGAAGGACAAGGGCTAAAGAATCCAAGAAAGCAATGTAGTCAACATTATCATCATTAAAAAGCACGCACATTGTGCAGCGCTGCAGTATGGTACCAAGTAGAATTTGGTCATAGACAAAGAATTTATCAGTAGTCTAACAGAGTGATTTGCCACAGGCTACCTTTATTCTGTTTAAACACCTGCTCTTTATTTTGACACATAACTTTGAACATTTTTGGATGTAAAAATGTTCTTTTCTTTGGGGAAGTAACAGTGATAAGTAGTTGATAGATTCTTTTTTAAGGTCCTTCCTAGACAAAATAAAAAATTGGCAAACATATATCATTTCCTCCACACTAACTAATATTTATTTTGAAATCCCAAAGGTTAGAAAGCACTGAACCAGTTAATCTTCAAGTTGTCTTACAGTTCTGGGAACTAAGGCGCCTAGTTATTAAAGGAATTTATCTATAAGGACATTCAGCAGAACATTTCCAAGGAAACTTAAACACATCCAGTTCCTAAGAGTTCGTCTATTTTCTACAGAGGTTGGAAAACTGCAATGTAACACAGAATCGAGAGACAGATTCTGTCAGCTACCACATAGAAGACTGAAAGATCAAACTAATATATAGATGAATAATAACTACATCAAGTACATAGTTCAGGATTCAATGGAAGGGTAGCACTGGAAATCTCTACCCAAGCTAGACCAAAGGACTAAACAATTAGATAGATCTGAGTCAGCCAGGGCTATCTGGAACTCCTTAAATGTTATTGAATTGCGCTCTTTGCCCTGATGTCTGGAGGCTGGACCTGACTATAGAATTTCAATGGCTAGACTAGAGATGGTTTTCATCAGAAATCAAGAAAACAAGTGCTTTGTTTGATCAGTGTTGAGTTTTTATAGCACAAGCAAGTTCTGCTGAAAATAGAGCCTAGGCCATCAAACTGTTAGATAATAATTGGGGGAGTAAACAATAATTGTGTATAAAATTCATAATTAAGCAGATCCTCATAATACCCAATTCATTCTTAGCCACAGGAGTTGATGTCTTTGAAAGGTACATTGACTTTATAGACATCTCAGGGGCCAAAAGATTGTTTCATTTCATTCAAATGGTCTTCCACAGTTCTCAGTTAATGTGGCTTCTAAGCCTGGGGGTGTTTAGGCCTTTGTTAAATCCGGCTCATTGTTTAAAACAGAACAACACACTTACACATAATTTTTGTTTGTTTTAATTCTGAATACAGTGAATTAACTGATGGCCTCTGAATTTGTAAGAGAAGTATTTCCTGGAGGAGATGACTGGGAATATCTGAATAGTTGGGGAAACAAATTACAGACAAAAACCCAAAACAAAACAAAATTTACTGTGACAAATAAAAATATTTTTTCCACATTCTAAGAGTAGTAAATGATTTCCATGTTGAACATTATTTGATTTATCATTACTTCATCTCACAGGTTTTTATTGAGTGCTTATGAGCCAGCGTGGTCTTTCTGCTCCTGTAAAGAATTACAGCCTTGGACACCCTATGACTCTTAGGGTCCCTAAGAGTCGAACTGACTCCACCGAACATAACTACCACTAAGTGTCTGGGTTTGGGGACACAAAGATAAGTAGAAGTCTTAACTCACCAAGCTGTTACTTTAGGCATTGACTTATACACATTTTTAAATTACAGTAGTTTTTATTAGAATTTGCATCACCCTTTCCGCACCCCCTCCCCCCCAACACACACACACACACACACACACACACACATTTTAAGGGATCTTAGAGCCCACGCCTAATATTTCAGTATCATCTTGGTTTTTAGATCATCTTTTAATGCTACGTACGACTTGAATTCTCTTTTTCCTTTGGCCTTACTTCCAGAAGGTCTTCACGACACTTCTTAGTGTAACCCAAACCTCTGGATTTCCTGATTGCTTAAATTGGTAGAAGCTCTTCCGGGACCTTAGTTATTGGCCATCCTTTTCAGATTCATCAACCCCATCTAGGACGAGTCAGATGTGTGTGTGGCCGGAGTGGCAATTTGCCATTACAGTGTTTGCTGGGCACTGAGACTGCCCCTTGCAAGCGTCCAACCCTGGGAAAACCTTTGCTTTTTGTTTTAGGGTATTGCCTGTTGGCTACAGAGGAAGCTCACACTGCATAAAGTATTTCTCTCCTTCAGTCATATATACAAGGCCCATTTTGTTTCAGAAAGAAGCTGAAAACGGGGCCCAACCAAGGAACGCAGCAAACCGTACCCAGTATTTTTGCCCTGCGTTTCAGGGCAGGACCCAGGGCCCAAGTTTGCAAACTGCTATGGGTGGGGGTTCCATTAGTGTGTGCGCTGGGGTGACCTTAGTACTGACTTCAGCTGTTTTCCTGCACCCAGAGGCTACTTGTGGATGGACTTTTGTCTAGGGCTGAATTGGAAAACTCTACTCTGCTCTGCTCTATAAAAGGCGCAATTCCCAAGGGGCTGGACAGGAGTTGAATGGCCAAACAGTGGCTCAGATGGGCGCTTTGCCGCTTAGGCTTTTCAAGTACAGGCCAGGTCGTTTTGATTTGGTTAAAGCCAGCGCAAGCTGAAGCCCCGGGACCCCTTTCGCCCCAACTGCCGGCAGAGATGAGCCACAGCGCAGTGCCGGCCCTTCTCTCCGTTCCAGCGGAGAAGCCCTTTGACCTGGTCAGGCTGTTTTCCTGCGCACCACCCTTTGCCCTATCCAGGTCAGAGGATGCGTCTGTGCGGCTGCAGAGGTCCGGGCTCGCGTCCACCGAGTCTCCCACTGCGCTCTATGTTTTGGCAGGAATCGCAGTTGCTACAGGACCCTCTCTGCAAAGTAAACACCCTTGCCATTACTTTTGCAACCTAAAGAGAAGGGCCCGGAGCGGACGAAATGCCGGATGCTAACAGAACCAAAAGCCGCGCGGCTGGTGCGGACGCTTTGCCCTGACGTGCCTGGGGCTGGCTCTAGGGCTTTCGGGTCGGGTCGGAGCTCGAACCATCCTCCCCAAAGCCTCGTTGGAAGGGAAGTAAAAGCGATACGTCCCGCCCTGTACCCGAAACTTTACAACAGGATTGATTCGATCCCTCTCTCCGCAGCCTGACCCTAGAGGGTTAAATCAGGAGGGTACAACGTCCCCCCCCTTCCCCCTTTCCTTCTACTCCGCCCCCTCCCCCCGCTTTACCTTTAAAAAGTTAAAAAATGTCTGCAGTCGAAATCTCTTAAAGGGGCGGTACTGGTGAAGGAGTACTCTTGGCACGAGTCGCTGGGAAGGCTGGCTAGGGGCGTGAGTTCGCTCCACCAGCACCAAAACACTGAAAAAAAAAAAAAAAAGAAAAGAAAAAAAAAAAGGGAAAGAAAAAAAGAGAGCGAGAGAGGGAGAAAAAAAAAGGAACGGAAAAAGGGGGGGAAAGGCAGACAGACACACACTTTAGATAAGGACAATTAGCCACTGGCGAGACCCTGTAGGCAGAGAAGTTTAAAACAGGGATTTAATGAGGGTGCTCTGTGTCTTCCCTGCAGCCATGCCCTCCAGCTCCCGCCCCCCCGCGTGCCTAGCCCTGGTGGCTCTCTTCTTAGCTCAGTTGCTCCATCTCTCCTTTTCCTCCCATGCTGGAGACAGGAGGCCCTTGCCTGTAGACAGAGCTCCAGGTTTGAAGGAAAAGACCTTGATTCTACTTGATGTGAGTACCAAGAACCCAGTCAGGACAGTCAGTGAGAACTTCCTCTCTCTGCAGCTGGATCCGTCCGTCATTCAGGATGGCTGGCTCGATTTCTTAAGGTAAGGCAGGGGCTTCGATGGATTTTTTTTTTTAAAGCAATAACCCCCCTTCTTACCCCCCACCCATTCTAAAGGGGGAAGAAGAAGAAGAAAATAAACCAAGCGGATCTCTCAAAGAGAAGAAAGGAGGTTTTCCTCCTCCTAGAATATTTGCTGCGAGGCTGTAACTGCTGATTGAGAAAAGCAATGTTTTCTATTAAGATGCACATGTTTGCAATGCAGAAGGCATTTCAGAAACTTATCAGTTATGACTGAAAAAATGTTATGCTTACATAGATCCACAATTAGCCTCCCTGTCTCCTTCTGAAAAAAAAAACTAAGAGATTCAGGGCAGTTACAAAAGCGAAGAAAAGGTCTTGAGCAACAAAGACCCGAGAGGAATGGGTGTGAGTGTGTATGTGTGCGTGCGTGTATGTGTGTGTATGCTTGTCTGCGGGTGTGTCTGTGAGTGTTCAAGCGGGTATCGCACGAAAGTGGAATTTTCCACGGAAAGATAGTTTCGTCAGTTCTCTTCCGCTCCCAGACAGAAACGAATTTAATTAAGTAGAGGCTTGAGCGGTGGGCAAGTTGTATTCGATTAAAAATATATATTTTATATCTTCCGTTGTCTTCTCCAGACTTGAGGACTTTGGTAAGGCGTCTTTTATAGACGGAATGGCCCCCAGTCCCTCCTCCTCAAATCTCTTGCGGTAACTGCATAGTTTAGTTTTTCTTTAAAGAAGAAAAAAAAAAAAAAATCCTCGCCCCGGTCATAGCGTATATAAGGGGAGCGTAAAAGATCTTAGAAATAAATACTCTGGAGATGTTTTGGAGGTCTGAACCCGGAACCGGCGGACCCCGGGAGGTTTGTGATCACGAGTCCCCTCTGCTCTAGGGATGGAATATAATTGGGCTCCCTCTATCCTTGGTTTGTTACTCTTTAGCAGTTAAACCATCGCAATCCCTTCCCATCAGGGCACTGTTAAAACAATAAACAATTAAAAGAAGAAAAAGAAGAAGAAAGAAATTGTCTGCATTGTCCAAAGCAAATGTTGAGTTTTTTAAAATTCCCTCCAAGTTGGAGCCTTAGCTGCAGGCTGCAGAAGAGTCTCGAGCGCCCCTAGTCCCACTTCTCTGCCCTGAAGCCGCGTCCACCGCGTGTCTTTCGTGAGTTATTTTTACTCATTGCAAGATTCAACTTTTGCTCCTCGGGACGCGCCCGCCCCTTGCTCGCGGAGGCTGCCTTTCGCCTTGGCGGGGTCGACGGGCGCGGCAGGTAGCGGGAGGCGCCACGTGGAGCGCGCCTTCCACGTGGAAATATACGCAGCCAAGGGCTGGGGTACCGCCGCCGCCGAGATCGTTTCGGTTCCGGCGGGTGCCTCCGCGAGGGCGGGAACAGCTCTGAGCAACCCGGCTTCCTCCGCGAAAGCTCTTTGGTGCTGCAAAGAGCACCTTTGCGCTCATCCGAGCGTGGGGTGTGAGAGGAGTTTCCCGAAACGTTCTCCGCGCCGTACGGCTCTTCTCCAGTAGCGCAGTCCTCTAGGTTTCCTTTTTTTTAAAAAAAAAAAAAAATTAGCTTGCTCACGCTAACACGCTGGCCACAGAAAAGATTCCGAAAGGGGGCTTTGAGGGAAAGAAGCCGGGCGCAGCGCACTGGCATTGGTTGCGCAGGTTTCTGACTGGACGAGTGTTGGCGAAGTCGTCTTCCGCGAGCCGGCCTTGCGCGGACGCCTCTGCCTCTGAGCCGGACCCCTCAGCCCGCCCGGGCCAGGCAACGCCTGCCGATGCCAGCCTTGGAATGAGCCCTGGAGTCTTCGGTTGCACGACCCTGCCGGCCACTGGACGTCTCAGCAACTTTACGAAAGAAGAGTCTTCGTTTATTCTTGTGCATCCACCTCTTATATGATTCTCTTTAGCTTCTCATTTGGATTTTCAGAACCTGAACCAGCAAAGCATTAAAAATAACATACAGATCTGGAACGTCAGATTGGATCCGCTCAGCAGCAACATCTGCTTTGCTCCTTCCCTACTCCTTCCCGATGTCGTCGCAGGCGATTCTCTTCTTTTTCTTTTAAAGCCTGAGCCTAAAGCGATGCCAGTGCCTTTGTTCCAGTGCTCCCAGAGTTTCTTCCTACGCGCAAGTTACACTTTTCGGCAAACTTCACTTTACCCTTTTCCGCCAGACAGCCCCAAGTGGGGAGAGAAAAAAGATCGAGCCAACTAACTGGGAGCTTGGGGGAGGACGGCACCCTGTCTGAGAGAAGAAGGAATTATTTCAGGGGCCAGAGACCTTGTTTTTATTGTGGGGTGAAAAGTCTGTTCTCGGAGAGACTAGGAGGTCCCACCGAATCTCTCCCGCCGGGGCTTTGGAAGATGAATGCGGTTGTTAGTGTTAGAGAGGAAATTCAGCTTTGCCAATGGAGGGGGAAAAAGGTCAGAATCAACAGACCTCCGGCGCCCAGCCAGTCGGGCAGGTTCGTTTTCCCTACCGAGGCTGCGGTGCCCCTGGGGCGGCGGAGGCAGGTCCCGGCGATCAGGGTAGAAGTTTGGCAGCGGTCGGATTCCGGCTGCCGGCGCGCTGCGCGTCCCCGCCAGGAGCGCCTTCTGGGCCTCTGCTCGGGAGCCGGGGGTTCGCAGCACAAGTGCCCCTCCCACCTTAACAGACACAAATTCTAAGTCTGGGAAAGCGGTACCTTTGGTGAGCGGCGTCAGGGAAGCTGAGGGAGGGACCCTCGCGGCCGGCTGGACGCAGTTGGCGTCACCCCCGGGAGCTGGGCCGCGGAGGACCAGGCGGGCTGGGGCGCGAGCCAAGAGATGGATAGCAGGGGTTCAGCGGGCGGGCGCCAAGCCCCCAGACCCGGCCAGGTCACCCGCGGGAAGTGGGAAGAGGGCCTCGTTCGGCTCTACATACGCCCTCGCCTATTCCCTGGACCCTTTCCTCTCTCTTTCTTTATCCCTGCAGTTCCAAGCGTCTGGTGACCCTGGCCCGAGGACTGTCGCCCGCCTTTCTGCGCTTCGGGGGCAAAAGGACCGACTTCCTACAGTTCCAGAACCTGAGGAACCCGGCGAAAAGCCGCGGGGGGCCTGGCCCAGATTACTATCTCAAAAACTACGAGGATGGTGAGAAAATCGATTCTTATTCTTGCGGGGTGGGTGGGTGGGCGGGCAGGCGGGAAAGTTTGGGGAGCGACAACAAGCACCCCCTGTGTGTGTGTGTGTGTGTGTGTAGGTTGCAGATGGTTTGGAGGAGAGCCCGCTTGAAGCTCCTCTGATAGCTGCTGGTAGCTGCGGGCAAGGTGACACCAGAGTGTGGGACTCCTGATGTGATTAAGCAGAGGAGGTTCCCCAGGTTGTCCTTGTTCCTCCTGCTGGCCTTTCTTTGGGTTGCAGAATCCCCAAGCCAGAGAACTGGTAGGCAAAACTGGCCGGATACCTGGCAGGCTAGTTCCGTGGGAAGAAAATGCAGTGGGTTTCCTGAGAAAATTCAGCCAGGTTCATAGTTGAAATGGTCAGCTATCAAGTCTCATTCCTTCTAGGAAAATGTCTCCCCACCCCTTTAAATTTTTTTCTTTCCTTCCTGGGATGACATAAAAGTCAGTAAATTTTAAAACCTGCTCTAAAGTTTTTCTGGTCTCATGCTGAGGAAGATTTTTTAATTCCCAGAGTGGGTTCTCCTTCAGACTGCCAGATCCCAGAGTACAATTTGCCTCAATTTAAATTGGGATTATAAATACCACCCTTCTATACTACCGGGATCAGATGAATTCAGTGTTGGAAAGACTTTGTAAAGGCCCAATCCGATTCCATTGTGAGAGGTCAGTCTCATTAGATTTGAAGTCTCATTTTTGACTAGGGAAAAATGAACATTAAAAAAACACACACCAAAACTCTTTAGGGGGTTTGATGTTAATATCTTTGTGCTCTTTGTATGGGTAGAGGAACACGCTTTCTTTCAAGTGGAAGTTGGTGGGTCTTCAGCAATTTAAGGTGTTGAGATTGAGTAGAAGAGGCATTAGGGTCCATTTTCAGAGGGGCTATCTCTGCCCTGCTGTCCCTTCTCATAAGTGAGCAACAGTTTTACTTTTCAAGGACCCAGGCCCAGCTTTCGGAATACTCTGGAGTTTTATCTTGTCCTTTAAATTAGCGAACTGCAGAAACGCCTTTGTATTTCCTGGGCTTTCAGGTTCAGGGGAGGTATTGGTGTCAATCTCAGGGTAAGAGAATAACCTTTTTTGAAGTGCCAGAATGGCAGAAGAGGACATGGTTGATGCTTCTTGAGTTTGAAGTATGAACAGGACTTAACTGTACTAAAGCATTTGCCAAAAGCCAGGAAATCAGTGGGTAGGTGTTTAAAGCTACATCTTTACAAAGATAAAAGTCATTGCCCTGAAAGTGTGGATTGCATACAGATTTTGCGGTCACTCCTTGTAAAGAGTTGAAAGGTAAAAGACAATCCTGAATAGCAGCTCAGATGGTAATTTGAGCCAGGGCCTTCTGACTCCTAAGGTCACTGTCAGTGTGCTCAGACTCAAGAAGGGAGAATCTTAGTGGTCTTCCTGATGAAACAACTTTTCTTTGAATCATTTGAGCTATGTCTCCTTCCTCTTGAGCTGGTGGAAAAACTTGTAAGAGAATCTCTGGGGGAAAAAAGACGATTATAAATTTAGAAATAGGCTTTCTTTTATTTTTTTTCTTTCTCAAACAAGTACCTGGGATTATACTACTAATTCATTGAGAACAATGAGATCTGCTTATAATGAAGGCTTTGATTTGTTTCTTTGTAAAAGGAGAAAGTGGGCATCAAGGGGAGAAAGGAAATTGGCAGAAGGTTGTGTTCTGTAAAACTTCATAGTTTAAAGAAAGAAAAATCATAAATGGAAAAGATCTAAGAGATCATCTTCAGCCCTTTGACTGCCTCGGGGCCAGCCAGCACAATACCATTCCATGTGGAATCCTTTTCTTGTTTTGTCCAACCTGGTATTAAATGTCTCTAGGAATGTCATTTTCCCCACTCCTGGGGGAGAGAGTTCTTGTATTTCGTAGATTTTTGCTGGCAATTTTCTCCTGAATTTTCCTTATAAATAGTCTCCAAATATTTACATTGATTCCTCTTTGTGATTTTTAAAGATAGAAATAACTTCAGTCTTTAGTGTGGGTGTCATCTTAAAAAAAAAAAAAAAAAAGTTTCTCCATAGCTGTTTTTTATCTAGACTACCTGGATTTAATTCTTTTTAAACTTTCTTTAAAGTTAGTCCTTCCAGACACTAATCTGCTTTATTGCTCCTAGCTGAACTCCTTTTGATTTATGTCTCCCTGGTAATAAGATGCTCTGAACTATATCAGTATCTGAGGCCTAAACAGAGTTAAAGAGAGTAAGCCAAAAAACTCAAATCTACTGCCCTTGAGCTGACTCCGCCTCATAGGGACCCTGATGGACAGACTAGAGCAGCTCTTTCAGGTTTCCAAGGCTGCAAATCTTTATGGAAGCAGATGGCCACATCCTCCTCCTGACTGGTGGCATGAACCACTGAGCTGGAGCATGTTAACCACTGTGCCACTAGGGTCTTTTTGAAGAATGCCCTGTTTCTGCCCTTTTGATGTTTGCATGTGTTTAAATCAGCTCCATTGTTCCTGTTGTTGCATGTTGTACTGTTGAATTTAAGGCAAAACCTTTTTATTTGCGGGGGTGGGGGGGTGTATGGCTTCTATATTTTGTAAATATTATACTTTGGTTATCACTTTTCATTCAGAGATAATTGTGTCTATCTGTGAGCATTATGAAATAATCAGTTCTTAGAATAAATTGCCCAGTAATTGGCACTTGGGCATGTTGTTGTTGTTAGGTGCCATGGAGTCGGTACTGACTCATAGCGACCTTGAGCACAACAGAAAAAAACACTGCTCAGTCCTGGACCAACGGGTACTTATTATTTTTTTAATGATGTATTTTTATTGTTGCTAAGTGCTGTTGAGTTGGTTCCAACTTAACAGTGACCCTATATAGGGTTTCTGAGGAGTGGTTGGTAGGTTTGAACAGCTGACCTTACAATGTCACACCAGGAGTCCATAATTCAGAATAACACCCGACATTTTGAGTAATAAGATATACCTATTGGTACACTGTGAAATTAAACGGTGGAGTGAGGAGAATGTGAAATTTGGAGTTAGCAAGCCTGCATTGCAGGTCTGCCTCTATCTTCTATGACTGTGATGCCGGAGACTTGTTCCTTCCTGATAACCCGTGGATGATAATACTTGCTTCGCACTGCTGTGAGAATTCAGAGAGGTATTTTGTGTGAAATATTTTGTCAACTGCAAAGCACTAACTGAAGGCTAAAAGGGTCTTGTTTTATTAAAGGCAACTTCAGAAAATTTATAACAAATATATTTCAAGTTTTAAATGGGATCAAGGAATTAATAAGATTAGGTGAGGCCAACGTTTATACTGAAGGAAGAAGACAGATTTAGTGGATTATTTGAGAAGACGAAGAGAAGATAGAGGCAATTATTTTAAAGGAATGGTGGTGGAAAACATAGGTGACTTAAAAAAAAGTTTTTTTTGGTAATGAGATAAAACCTTGGTATGATGCTGTAGGAGAAGCACTGGACCATAAAGTCAGTTTGAGCTGCATGGTCAGTGGTTCAAACCCATCAGCTGCTCTTCTGAAACCCTGTACAGGGTGGCTATGACTCAAGGGCTTGACAGCACTTACCAACCACAGCATTTTGAAATGAACGGATAGTTCCCGTTTGGGCAGCATTTCTTTTAATTCATTCATATTCTTACCTTGATGTGATTTTTTTTTTCTTTTTCATTAATTATCTCATTAATGGTGCAGTTAACAAGTTACTTGCTTTCATTTGCTTTTTGAGCCATTAATGCAACTTTGCCCTTTGAGACTTTGTCAAATCACTGCTTATCACTGGGGCGTGTCTGGTTACTCCTTTAATACAGTTCCCATATTCCACTCTGTTCTGTTCAGACACCTTGAATTCTATATGAACGTAGTGATCAGAGAGGAAATAAAAATAAGATTGTGCTTTGGGCCCTAATAATCTTCCCCCTTGCCTGACTTCCTCTCTGTTCTGTGTGGTGTTCTGGCTTACTTGCTCTCAACAAAGAAATCTTGGCTAATTTGTTCTTCAGTTTATTTGGCTCCAGTTTGCTCTTCTTTGTTGTATATTCAATGCCCTTGCTTTGTATGCTTGTCTCTTTACTGCCTTAACCATGAGCTCTAGCTTCAGTTAATTCCGAGGCACCCATATCCACTGCCATTGAGTCAGTTCCGACTCATAGTAACCATCTACAGGGATTCCGAGGCTGTACATTTTTACGGGAGCAGAAAGCCCTCAGAACAGCTGGTGAATTTGAACTGCCGACCTCGCAGTTAGCAGTCCAGTGCTTATCCTACAGCACCACCAGGGCTTCTTAATTGAGGTAGTTGGTTCTTTTTCTTCCATTACATCAGTGAAGACATAGAACATAGTAAGAACAACACAAGGTCGAATATATAATTGCCGTGAACTTACTCATTTTTCATTATCTCATTTTTTTTTAACTTAAATGTTTTTTGAAATTTAATTCTGTTTAACAAGTATTTATTGATACGTATTCTGAGTTTCTAGAGTCCTGGTGTGGTGCTGTGGATTAATGTGCCAGGCTTCAAAGTCGTTTGAACTGCAAGGTTGGCGGTTCAAGCTCACCAGCTGCTCTTCGGAAACCCTATATAGGGTTGTTATGGGTCGGAACCGACTCATTGGCACTTAACAACAACAACAACTCTGAGTTTATTTTCATGCAGGACCAGTGCTGACTGAGTCTAAGATAAGTAAGAAGACAATGTTGCAAATCTTTATTAGAACCTAAACCAGAACCAGTTGCCTCCAAGTTGATTCTGATTCATGATAATACCACCTTAATAATTTCTGTAGACAATCAATGTTAATTAAGATTAGTAGGGGAAAAGGGATATTTGCATAGCCTCAAAGTATCTACCTTATATTATTTACTAATTGCTGTAGGGAGTCCTAGTGTGGCGCTGTAGGATAAGCACTGGTCTGCTGACCACAAGGTTTGCAATTTAGACCCATGAGCCACTCTTTGGAAAGCCTATATAGAG